GCAGTAACTGAAAGCTGAGCTCCAAGTGGCATCACCAAGAATTTTTTGCTGCATTACATTATATCCCCCAAGGTGCAGGAGAACATTACTTGCAAGTTTGATGAGTAGGGTGCATTAGAAAAATGAAGCCATTAAATTCTCATAAGCTTTTCAATTTTTAATGTTATAAAACTCTAGAAATGCTTTTTGTACCCGGGGCATGCACCAGTTACCACAACAGCAAAGCCTGGCTCTTCCTATTCAAGTCCAGTCTCTTCCTAATGTCTCAGGCTCTCTCCTTCCCTTTATTTAGAACCATCCTCATTGTGGGTCCTCATGGCTCAGGCTGATTTTAATAAAAAGACACAAGTGGCCCTCACTGACAAGGACCTGCACTGAGAAAAATGCCTTCTTGCTATTTTCTGTAAGATGCATCTTGTTCTGTACCTTGGGCTTTCTCATTTTGCCTTAACATTTTTCACTACAGTTCCAATTTCAGCTCATATTTCTTTTCTTTGTAACTGAATATTGGCATCTAAGATGTCTCTTAGACCAATCTATTGACCCTTTGTATGAATTTATTATAATCAAACCCATTAGTTTCAGACCCTGTCCACACTGAGTTACATTTGTGGGTTTCTATCACTCCCTAATGATTGTAGTTTGCAGCCTTTCAGACCATTATTTTCTTTTTGGCCTGGTAAATGCCACCTAGCACAGCCTTTCCACCAGGCAGAATGAAGATTCTATTTTTTGGCTATTTCTGTTGCTTTCAGTCAATTTTTAAGAACCTGAGAAGTGTGTTTCAAAACTTTGTATAAAAGAAAGGCACAAATTGACTCTTATAGAAAATGCTATTAAAACCTCTTGTTTTACTTGTTTAGCAGAAGAAAAGACTCCAAATGCTCCAACTTGTGCCACAGAAGTGGACAAACAGAAATGTACAGAACTGCAGATGTCTTTGCCTTCCTGTGAACCTGGCTGAGGAACTCAAATGTATGAGCAGAGATCAATTAGTACCCATTTTCCTATTTTCTGTAATCTTCACCCCTCAATTAGTTATCATTTCCTAATTAAGCATAGCTATAAGATGCAGAATTTTCCCCAACATCACTCGAGAAACAATTTAATCCTCATAATTAAAAATATCTTAATACCACGAAAGTGAAATCAGAGACTCAACAGACCCCCACAAGCTACAAATAATCAGGATGGTTGATGTATTAACATATTTCTGCCTCATCTGCCTCACTAACAAGTACTGTTTCAGGAAAATAACCAGCTTCCCAGTGCTGCTTACACCTTCTTAGGCACTTTATAGCAGAAGCCTGACAACTGTCCCTACACAAATAAATTTTAGTTACATGTATTTTATGTGCAGAACAGACTTATGAGGGAGTAAGAGTAGCTTCACAAATTTCAATCTGGTTAAGCCTCCCAAGCCATCTTTTAAAAATCAAATATACTTCATGTCACGTTTTTATTAGCAAGGAATTTCTTGTGCTGTCACATTATTCTCTTGCCACGTTTGTTTATTTTTCTCTGAAGGTTTCTCCAGAGTAAAGCAATATTGATCAATGTAATGTCATTGACCCCAGAACACAATGTGTTAAATAATTCTTATTGTGCACATTCCATGACAAAACTGATGTGAAAACAATAACAAATGTTCAGCACAGGAGCTGGTTAAATAAAGCCTCTGGAATTTAGGCTCACATACTTTAATCCTACAACCTAGACTGCCTCTCTTTTTGTTTATATGAGCTTACCATGCAAATGATTTTATTTGCTATTTGTAATTGAAAAAATAAATGTACTTCAGAGCTCTAGAACTCTATTTCAAAACTCAAGAGTTCATATTAAAAAGAAAAGAACCCTCAGTACCTCAGACTAGACCACCTGACTGATGTTTGAAAGCCCAGACAGTATTTTGGGCAAGCTTATGAAAATGCACCAGCCTCCCTGCTCTTTTGCCCTGCCCCCTAAGTGCATTTGTTATGCCATGTTTTACTTTCTTATCTCACAGCTTCTGCATTCACATATCCCTGCCACACTCCAAACTCTTCCTTAAGGCTTCATTCCTATTAGCATGTTCAAGGAATTCCAGCCTGCAGATTCTGTTCTGCACTTCCTGTGCCCAAAGAGTGCGAAGCAGAACAACAGACACAGAAACAAGAAAAGTTGATGCTATCTATGACGTCTTATATTCTACCAGTGGGGAGAATGGCAAATATGACTATAAACCCTGAAAGCCATTCCTAAGGATGTGGTGAACACTGATGCAATGCACACTAATACCTGCAGACATGTTTTGGGAAAGGAAACTTAAAGCTAAGTGAGTCCTACAGAGTTAACACTCTGCTCTTGCCACAGAGCTCTCTCCAGTTCTGACCAGACCTCAGCACGTGTCCCAGAGCCTCAGAGCCATCTCTGGACAGATGGGAATGAAACATGAGGCACAGGGAAAAGCATCTGTGAACTGTCATTCAGGAATAAAGTCATTTTGATTCAGCAACATGATTTGTAAAGACATGCAACTCTCTACAGCCTGCCAGACTGAGTCCCTCAGAAGCACCCAGAGAGAACAAACAAATACCTGCTTCAAAGAGGTAGTAACTCAGCTATAAAAGTTGTTAAGGATACAAAAAGCACAAAAGATACATACAGATAGGGCAGGCAGAGTAACAGCAAGAAGCAATGAGGAGTCGTTTTCTCATGTAAGTGGGTTAATCATAGTCAAGTTTTTGTAGGCATGAAAAAACCCAGCATCTTAAAAAGAGTTTCAGAAGAGGAAAATAAGTAAGCAATGCAGATGTTCATGCAGCTTATGTCTGAGATGACACAGATGGAGTTAAATGTGGGCTGATCCGCTGTTAAATGCAAGGCTACAAAACTCTTTTGGGGCAGCACTCTGAGGAGATACAAACCAGGCCAGACTACAGCTGCTGAAGCCAAGGAAATGATGTTGCAATAACCAAGATGCAAAATCACTGACAGCCTGGATGAAAGCTCAGCAGTGTACAAAGACAGGAAAAGTTGTCATGCAGACAGACTTAGCAGGATTTTGATAGGCTGGATGGAAAGAGAGAGGAAGAGCTGTGAGCTGAAGGGAACAAGCAGATAGATTACTCATTCAGTGAGGAAGCAGCACAGCAGCTGCAAGGGGACAATGTAGGAGCCCTTGGGCAGATGAGGAGTTCCAGGTTAGCAAGGTTTTGTTAAGGCAAAGCAGAGATGAGGGGACATCAGAGGTGCACTGAGATCACAAGTTGGTCACAAGCTGATGGGTGTTGAGCACAGAAGCAGATTTCCAACACTTAACTTTATTAATTCCATTAGCTTTGCCTGGAGAACTCCTTAACCATTCCAGAAAGGCTGGAGCCTTTACACTGTGAGCCAGTGACTGAAGCTGTTTCAGTACTTCACTTCTCTTGGAGCTACCTCAGTTGACACAGACTGCTCAGCAGATTTCCACAGCTCATTAATATTTTCTGCAAGTTAACTCTCAGCTCAGACTGGCTGTACTTCAGTGTGTCTCCTGCTACAAGGTTTCTACCACTGCCTTTTCATACTCCTCTCTACATGATGCCCCTCATTTTCAAGATGCTTCCATCTTCCAGTAGCTAACAACAAGAGCTGCAACTTCTGATCCATCCACGAGGAACATTTGGATGCAGCAACAGGAATCAGGAAGACTGAATGGAGATTCAGAATTCTGTTTTCTGCATCTGTTTCTTCATCCCCACTGCTTTGAAAAAATCCAGCCATGTGTCAAGTTAACATGAATTACTTCCCTAAACTCAAGTTTTCCTGCAGTGGATCACACACCCCGAGTTAAAAGCCTTGTCAGCCCTTGCTGTTTGTCAAGCTGGCCCATAGAAGTACACAACCACAGACACAACCACAGACACAGACACTAATTAACAACATTCCATTGTGCCACAAATGGGAAATGCCAAGAGATCTACCTGCACCCTGCCCTGCTCCTTGCACAGCTCCCACTTCACGAGCACACATGCACACAGACAGCAGGCAGACAACAATATACAGAGAGAATGAATGGGTCTCTAGTGTTTCAGATTTACCTACAACCGTGTCCTTCCATCAGAACTTTAAGAGTGTTTTGCTTCTGGCACTAGCATTAGCAATCCCACAATACAGACTGTTAAGAAAAACGTTGCTCAACATTAGAGATAGTTAGAAACAGAGTTAGAAAAATCTGGGTGCTTCCCAGGAGCACTCTGCAAATTACTCATGAACTAGAAGATATTTTAGAAACTGTGCATTGCATAGCCGCTGCCAATGGGTTACACAAGTCTCTGACCAAAAATCAAAAAGGAAAAAAAACAAACTAAAAATGAATATCCTGATGAAAAGAAGAATGTGTACATCTCATGTATTAGAGACACAAACTGCATTTGAAATAAAGGACATGCATATGGAAAGTGCAAATATCTGAGGGGCGGTTGGGGGGAAAGAATTAAATGCAGATAAAACTCTTGCTGGTGAAAATAACATTTGAATTTAATTTTATATCCAGACTATCCAGTTCACAGTCCTTTCATTCCTACTGTGGGAAAATGGGAACTGGAAAAAAGTCCCACCAAGGAGGCTCTTTTCTCTCCCTCCTTTTTCCTTCCTTTTTTTTTAAACGTTAAAGTCTGTGATGACCTAAAGAAAGTAACAAAACAAAACTGTGTCCAATATTTTAAACTCAACTTTCCCTATGGTCTCAAAACTGCATCTGCTCCACGTGCACTGAATTCAGCAGGAATTCTTTGTCCAAGATGACTAAAATATCAGAGTCTGCAGCGAGGGACACCAATATATAAAATAAATAGTAAGAAAAAGACATTTAAGAGGTGAATACATACAACCTACAGCTACTGCCTGGTAGAGCTAATTCCTCTTTCAACGTTTCTAGACTGTACTTATACTAAATTGCCCCAAATACATTTTATCATTTAGCTTATAAACTAGGCCTTTAAAGGGGCATTCCTGCATTCAGCCTGTAACATTACCTTGTAGGCAGCTTGTCTCATAAACTGCTTTGCAGGCTGCTTCCAAATAGCAGGCACTGTAATGACCCATCTTACTTCAGTGTTTTCAAAGTCCGAGCCTCCTTGGTCACTGAGCTCCTAAAAAAGGGAAAGAAAAAAAAGAAAAAAGGAAAGAAAATAGAGGTGAATGTAAAATGATGGGTGTCTCCAGGAAAACATTCTTTTCTGCTGGCTCTGATAACAGTAACACTCTTTTCAATTTTTTTCCTGTTACATCCATGCTACAAATCAGAATTACTCCCAACCTGCCAAGAATGCTTTACTGTGCCAAAAGGTGGGAATAAGGTTGAAGCTTTCTCAAGGAGGCCTATAGAAAAGTTTAGTGCTCAAAATAAAGCAGAAAAGTTGGCTTCTGCAAAAGCAGCAATTTACAGAATATTACAGCATATTTATGTACATCTTTAGCTATGGTGTGGGATTTGCTGTTAGCCTGAAGAATTCACGCTTACATCTTGATTAATACACAGAAAAATATTTGGGGTATCACTGATGAGCATTTATGTTTTACAATCTGGATTTTTCAATGACTTCTTTATACACCACTTACCTTTAAATCAAACTTTTATAATGCAGTTAACAAGGGGAAGTTACAGTTAACCCCTCTAAAAAAATGAGTGATTGGTCCTTCAAAATTTTGCTTTAAGCAAACATTCGAGACTAGTTTAGTACTTTTATTGTCCTTTTTCTTCTCCCCTTAAAAAAGAGGGAAGTCTGTACTGCATTTGCAAATTAGGTGATATACTGACATGTTTTGGGCAAGGTTCCAAGTAAAATGTCATTACCATATGTCCTATCTAAATCTCCATCCAAACAGAGAAAGGTTCAGAAAGGTGGACAACAGGCCTTTAGAATGTAAAAAAAAATATGTTTCTGCATGTGCTGAGCCAAGGTGTTGTGTTTGTTTAGCTATGCTGCAGTTCAAAAATCCATGCTGGGAAAAGTAGCACCTTTATAATGCACAGGGCACCACAGACAGCCACAGCACAGGGCAAAGTAACAGCTCACTTACATGGCATGTCTAATTAGTTCCAGGATTCACTCACAAATGCCAGGGATTTAGTTATTAACATCAGGAAAAGGATGTAGCCCTGAGCAGGCGGCACAGCAAATATATGGGATTTTATCCAGCATTCATATTTGCTAAAAATGTCCCCAGTCTACACACAGGTCCAAGTCTGTGACTCCACAACCAGCCCCAGAAATGTACAGTTAAGAATGTCCCTGACAAGATGAGGCATTTGAGTTGTAGTGGCAGGATTGTTTCTCTGCAGCCATAAGGAACAGACTGGGATCTCAGAAAAAATAAATTAAACCCATTCAAAAAAGTAGGTTAGCTCTTAACCACAAGGCTATTTTAAACAACACTTGCTCGGATGAATACTCTGATTTGACCCAAGAATTGCTCTGCTCACACTGACATTATAGTGGCATTGGAAGCCAATGTTTACTTAACTCACAATTGACTATTTACATGAGATTTAACATCTCAAAACCTGTTTACTGGGGACATGTATTCCATTGGAGAATAAGGAAAACAATCTTGTGATCCAAGAAGACTGCAACAAATGAGCACTGCAACATTTCAAATCAGATATGGAAAATAATAAGCTTTTAAACTTTCTTGTCAAATGTACCTTTTTTTTTTCCCATTAGAAAATACCTAAGCCAGTAAAAAGCTATTCAGAACTCTGCATCACAGGGATGCTATTAGTGAATCAAGCTTGACCTGTGCAAGGGGAAATTACTTCAGGCTATTGTGAGCTCTCCAGAGTCCACAGCCTGCCCAGGGTTTCTACACCTGCCTTGCTTTGTTTACATCAAACACAACTTAGGTCGAAGCTTGGCAAGGCTAAAAATATTAAACTCATATTTATACTAGTTATAAATACAGAAAATCTTGATAAGGAAGCATTACCCCACCTTTAATGCCTGTTCCTTAAAGAACTGCAGAGCATAAGCAAATATCTCAAGTGCTTTGACTTTTTTGCCATTTGCTGCTGTCAGGTCTGTCTCCATGGTAAGATTCTACATGAAAGAAAATAACTGGAAGTTATTAAAAGAAAAAGGCAAACATCAAATTAATTCCCACTGCTTGAGGACAGTGAACTCTTCATTATTCACCTGATTAGGAAAAAGTGACAAAACTATTCTGAAGAGGATTTAACTCATCACTTGAATTTCCTGGATCATGACACTTTGCTGCTTATTTTAGACTTTGTTTTTAAACACTTACCATGCCTACAGATAACTGTAGGCAGAGAAAGAAATGTGGACTAAATATTAAACAACTGCAATAGATACATCTGTAAATAACTGCAATAAAGTTTCAGATGCAAGAAACTTAATCCAAGTTAAAAGTACAGATTTTTGGTTTTCCACCAACAGATGAAACCAGAAAGCACCTCAAAACAGAAAGTACTGGCCAATTCCCAAAGCTCTAAAATGGATTAAAGACAAAAACACAATCAGTAGGAATAATGTCAAATTAACAGCCCCACTGGCACTTGCAGTTCTGGCAATGAATTCTGGGTGAATTTTCTTGGCTGCTCTAGAGCTCAGTCTGGCTCTTATATCCCATTCCTGCTGACCAGATTTATTGAACAAACCAACCTTATGCAGACAGGACATGAAGATCTAAGCAAAGCAGATACTGAACTTTAAAGATCTGCAAGGAAGGCTGGCAAGATACAGCTGCCAAATGCAGTGAGAAACAAAAGGAATCATAACGCTAAGTGAAGAGTTTAATTTCCTCAATTTACTCTCCAAACGAAGAGATGCTTCACTTCCAGTTGACAAAAATTTAGTAGTGTTCAGAGGAAAACAACTCGAGTAGCAAACACAGTTTTGGTGCTACTTACACCAGTGGTATGCAGCTTCATCTTGAACTTTTCAAAATACAACCAGTGCTTTGATTCAGTGGGATCCAAGTCATGGTAGAAGTCTCTTGCTGCATAGCCAAAGCTATGGAACTTTCTCTCTGGTGTGAGGAGGATTGTGGTCGGGGTCTTCTGGTTGGAAACACCTGGATCTCCACCTTCCCATCGCCTGGCCAAAAAGTGAAACAGCTCCAGTAAGTGATGCTCAGGGTCAGAGCAGCAGGAACAAACACGTGTATCATGAGAAAAAGCTATGTGGTGGCAAATTACACAGATTGCTTTTCAAAGATAGTAATTTCAAACCTTACCATACCAAAATCAAGTGGGTTTATTTCCACCTAAGAAAAAAGGAGTGCAATTTTCATTTCAGGTAATTCAACACATTTTTGTGGTTATGTATAATTCTTAAGGACACATCACACTCAGATAAGAACACAGGTTTCCTGAAGTAAGCCATACACAATTAAGGAAACCGTTTTGTACTTAAAATTTCTGCCTAAGCCAACACGTGTAATATATATTATAGAGGAAAAAAATAATCAGTAATTATCCAAGAACACTACTAATAAAAACCCAAATATGGCCCTTCCAATTGTGATTCAGACTTCATGAATGGTTACTTGCAAGGGATACTTTTCCCATTTTGAATTAGGGACCTCCTTAAGTCATCTAACATCACCAGGGGGAGGTTGAGTAAATCCCCATTTCTGTCCCAGAACATTCCCTGAAACAAGACAAGCCAGTTCAACCAACATCTGATCATGTGCTTCATTTCCTAGACACCTGAAACTCTGAAGGCATCCATGCCTGCAGATGCTGAGCTCTCTGCACTTCACTTTCTACTCATGCAAAGCTGATGGATTTTGTGTTTCAAATACCCAAAATGCTGTACAAGTTTCAAACTGTCAAAAATGAAGCAGACTTCCCCAACCTCCAAGAATGCTAAAGGCACCAAAATATTTCTGTCACTACTGGTGAATAAAACAATCCTACCTCATCGAGATTGTGAAGGTATTTTTAGGGGATACCCATGAAAGTATTAAGGCAAAGGTAAACTCAAAGCTGCTTTCACAGAACGGATAAGGAAATAAATAAGGAAATAAATAAGAATACTGAATATGGGAACACCCAGCAGCAGGAACTGAAGGGGGGCATGGCAGGACAAAAAGGTCAGACAGTAGAAAGTTGTAGAAACAGCTGTGAGCATTCCTTCTCCATCCCAAAAAAAAGGCAGAATGGAAGAAACTCACATTACTGTTCCTCCCCCCACCATATACAAGTACTTTCTGTATGAGAAACAAACATTTACCAGAAAACATTTTCTTAAAAAGGCATCAGTGGAAAATCTGTTTATACTCTCAGACATAATCATAACACAGCTCAAACAGGAGCCAAGTTAAGATCACACAGGCAACTGCATTCATTATTAAACTACACGTCAATTGCTTTTTCTAAAGATAGCAAAACGTACTTTCAGAACATACTCCTGCCAAAGCCCTCATTCTGAAGCACAAAAAGTCTGCCTTGCTCTGTGGTAGCTGTTTATGTGACATAGGAAGAGTATGTAGAAAAAATAATTCCCGTTTCACTCAGAAACAGTTGAATCCATTGAACATTAATTGACCTCCAGACCAAGGCAGAAACTGACATGGCAAACTGCAATTTAAGGGGTTGGTACTTGGCAAAGTAACAAGGAATGGGATCTTCTGAAGGGCTGGGACCCCTTCACTTCATTCAACTGGATCAAACTGAGCAAAACCTCTCTTTTTAGCTCAAGCAGCAGAGAACAATACATCAGAACTTCTCTCAGTGCAGAGGACACTTCCACTGCCCTGAAAGCAGAAACAGCATGATGAGGAGTGGAATGATTTCCACATTCATCCACTTGAAAAAACTTCCCTGCATCTGCCCAGTTCCGCTGCTCAGCCCCTGAGCCGTGATCAGCTGGCAAGGGCTCTGCTCCAGGTAATTTCTTCTAACCTGCTGCTAGAAATGCACTTGGTCAACTCCAAAATCTTTGAGTAGGTGTTACAGCAAACATATGGTTCCAATGTGAAGAAGCTGGGATCTCACAGCTCATGAACAGAAAACACTGCTATTCCAGCAGATTGTTAAATCCCACACACCCGCTGCAAGCAGAGAGGAGACAGACTGCTATCGTTTTTGCTTGGAATCATTAATGATTCATTCTGAGTCACTGGTGGGAAATGCCATAAATAGGCTGTGGCTAATAACAATGCTTCTTTGTTTTTCATTATGGCCAGGCACATTTTCTCTTTCCGGAATAAGCACGCTTAAGGTGCAGTTTAAATGAAGACAAATTTATGTTCAATGCTGTGGGATGAAATTTTCAAAGCCACCTGGAGAATTGGATGTTTGCTTCCTGATGAGTTTCTGATGGAAACTGGACACAGTAATTGCTCAGCACCTTCTAAAGCCCCCAGCTTGTATTACTGTTCAGTCACAGAAAGGACAGCAAGGAAAGACAAGGGGAAGCAGGACTCTACCATCTGCAATCAGAGATTTAGAAATACTCCTGTGTGATGTTTTTCTAGAGAGAAGCAGATGCTAAAGCATGGGAATGGTAATTCCTGGCTGAACACTCTTGCCAGGTGGAGCCCTGACCTCACTCCAGCTACAGGAGGATTTGTCAGTAGGACTAGGACTGCAATGCTTTAGTTTGCAGTTTCCTTTCATGGTTCCAATACAGGCAAAATAATGGTAAAAATCAGGAAAAATAAAAAGGAAATGCCTATCAAAAGCATAAACCTATACAAGCCAGAACTGCTATAAATACATGTGGGAGATATTTTTGCAGTGCAGAATCACAGTTAAAAAAACTATTCAAAGAGAACCAAGATAGATTTCTTTCAAATGCAGACATATGAGTTCCTAGGATGATATAAAGTGAAGTATCTGAACAGAAATATAAACAACACAGACCTGTTTATAACCACAGAGCATCTAACTGTACACTAGAAGTGAAAATAGAGACAGGAGAGTCAGTGAGGAAGGAAGGACGAGGTTATACAAAGGTTAGAGAAATGCCTTCAATCTGGCTAAGGCAGACCAAACAGGGACCTGTGCAAAGTGATGGGAATTTGATCCAGAGCTGCAGCACCACAGCCAAGGAAATGAAACACTGGGGTCATCAAAATGCAGCTGAATGCCACCAGCAGTATGTATGCAGAAAAAAGGCAGGTGTGTGCCTCCCAATTAATTACAGTCAAACAGGGAAGAGAGGGAAAGGGGAAAAACCTAAAGTTGCACTGAAAAGAGACCACATTCTCCCTCCTTCCAAAGACAGACTGCCATTTGTTTCATAGCCACATGCATTTCTTCAATTATTTCCATTTGTGAAATACTCCCATTCAGCTATCTAGCCAGTAGCCAAAACATCTGTAACTTCATGTAAGTGCACATAACTCAAGAGGAGTTTTTCAGAACTGTGCAATATCTCATGTATTCCCTCCAAATGAGATGTTATTAACTCATTCTACAGCAGCAAATTTTCCACGTGGCTCTGGCACTGCCCGGCTCACTGAAGTGCTGAGCTCATGGCCAGGCAGCTCAGATGCCTTTCCCCCAGTCTCAAATTATGCTGCAAACAGCAGTCATTGTAACACATTCCCTCTGCAAAAAGAACCTGAACCACAGCTACCTGTAACAGAAGCTGGGGGCAACTATCAAGAGTTGTCAGAACTACCTAAACTGATAAAACAGTAACCAATGTTTTGCAATCAAAGTGAAGTCATTCACTGAACATTTACAAACCCACACCCAACTCCAAACACGGTGAGATGAGTGAGGCCACTCATACATTTAAAGATAAATGTATGCTGAAAGAACTTTGTTCAGTCAATGCTTATAAACTCTTTTTTTTTAGCACTGGGCATCACAGCAAATAAACACACAGTTAAAAAAGTGACTTTGTTTGCTTCCTAATTACACAACAAGAATCATGGCACTGCTGGCACTACACTCAAACCTGGAGCTAAAGCACTGTGTGTTCACTCTTTTCCAAAGTAGGACCTTCTAAATAAACCCATCTTACCCTTTTAGAGAAAAGCAGCTTTGTTAAAAGGCAGTCAGAAACCTAAGTATCTGGAAAGAATCAACACTAAGGAGGGAAGGTGGAAAAAATGTTAGGAAGTAGAGAGGACCATGCATCACTGGTATGCTTTATTTTAATGTAAACATTCTCGAGTGCCTGTGGGAAGCTACATTTACTCTGCTGAAATATTTGTAAGTTATCCTGCATGTAAGCCTCATTATATACAGCCCTTAATACCTTCTGAACTACTGCAGACTTACCTTAATGAACATACCATTCTTTTGAATGGTTGAATTCATGATTGAATTTCATCATTTCATGAGTATTAATACATAAATATATATAAAAATATTACATATATTATTTAGTAAGTCTGTTTCAATTATTTCTTGCAAAAATTCTTTCCAGATAGAAATATCTATTAAAAAAATTAAAATAATTCTTGGTATTAAAATATTTGCCATTGTTTCAAATACCTGTTGGAAATATGAATACACCCCCCCGAAAAAAAAAGTTCTTCCCCTCTGGTTGGAAACACATGAAGTAATTTATTTCATTTCTTTCAACTTCAGTATCTCACGTCACAGCTACCTAGCTCTGAAATCACAGTCATGCTGCCATTACTGCATAAGGAGGAAAATGTCGTGTTTTGAACCACAAGTAGCAAAATGTCAGCTGAGATCTGGAATATAATCTCAGCACCTGGATTTCAATGTCCCAGTGACTGACAGCAGGAAGCCTGGCAAGGAGAAGGGATTTCCCCAGGGAAGGAGAATCTAATCCATATTGTGAATCCAGCAGCAAAACCAGGTCCTAAGGTAAAACTCGAGTCCAAGGCACCTCAAGGACCTCCCCAGAAACAGCAGTGATTCCACACAGTAAAACCTCCAGCATTTACAGGAACAACACAGAGTTGTTCTAAACACAATTTCAGCTCAGATATAGCTTAGAGATGTTTTCTCTCATTCCATCAAACTTCTTTAAGGACTTTAATCAATTACTTGCTGCCAAAGAGAATAGGAACTGATAAGCACGGGTTCCAGCCTGCCCACCCTGAGAGCTGTCTGAGGCAGCAACACCGGGTGTGTCCTTTGACTTCAGCCTTGTGCATCTTCCTCTGCTGCTCAGAGAGCAAGAGATGGCTGAAATGCAGAGGAGATCTGGAAAGCATTACTTGTCCATCCTGCAAAAGGTAGATAGCTTTGCAACTGGATGGCAGAATACCATTTCTAAATTGACTTTCCTTTAGACAGCATTTTAAATCCCTCAGCTGCGTTAGTTTGCAGCCATACACAAACCAACTGTGCAGGCTGACTGCACAATCAATAGTGTCTGCTGAGATTTAGGGAGCTGCATTCAGCTACCACCTCTGCTTAGAAAAAATGCAGTATATCACACTGGACTGCAGCAAATTAGGCTTTTTGACCTTTTGTTCTCAGCGTTACAGCACAGTACCTACTTCTGCAACAGCAGCATCATTTACAAGAACAGCTGTGGTTGAGCTTTCCATATGTAATTTTTTATGTTTAAAATTATCTACATCTTGCTCTCATTAGAATATGGTCATTTTAAATATACTATGATAAGAATTAAATATGTTTTAAGTTATAAATAAATTTTTTAAAATACTATAAAATATTATAGCAATGGTTTGTAGGGCAAACATCTCACATAGCTGCCATAACAGTTTTTGCATTTGTGATTGCATAGAGTTATACTGTGCTGAATTAATCAAGAAATAAAAGAATAAAAAAACCTCCCTACATCACAGCAGCTGAAGTCTCTCCTTTACATACAGATAACACAGACAGATTTCACACATCAAACCTTCATTTTCACATTCATGCCTTTTGATTGCTTATTACCCATTATCAATGGATCATTATAATAGGGTTTGATTTGATTTAATTTGATTCAGATTTAATACCACAAAACTTAAATCAGCCAAACAAACTCCCAGTGCTAGTAACCAGGTGGTGTACACCCAACTATACACAGTGAGATTCCAGGGGATGGGCACCTCCTGGATGCCATGACCCTTGGAAAATCAGTGTCTGAGATAACGGCATCCTGACTGACTTATTAACTCTGCTCCCTGAATAATTCTCAATACTCAGATTCCTCCTTCTATTCTATCATCTTGTAACCTTAGCAAAACAAGAAAGGGGATGTGCTCCCATGGACTGCTAAAGCAAATCAGAATACAATAAGATGCAACAAAAAGTCATAACCATGAGAAATCTGCACACTGTGATAATGCCAGACAAACCCAGACACCTCAGGCTCCTGTAGAAAATATCTATGGCTACTGCAGGCAACCCATGTTCTCAGAGTCACAAACCAAATGCTGCATTGCAGCCCTTACCTCATTACATGAATACATTCTGGCTCCTTGGTGAAGCTGTAGGCGTAGCCACTGGAAGTTGTGCCAAAATCAATAGCCACAACAACAAGAAATAACTGTTCTACAGCATCGTCTGCATCAGAGTCCTTCTGTTAAACAGCAGAAGCAAAACAGACACAGTCACTGATCACAATCATTTTAACCTGTCACAAGTTTTGCTCTGCAAGACTTGAATATCTCTTCAGTGAAAATGGGGACCTCCCTGTATTTGCCCTTGTTGACCAAAGTTGATATCAGAAGGCTGCACATTCCCATGGAATTGGAAATTCAATACATGACTCAACATATATGCTAGAGCCTTTTATACATCGTTTTCTATTCAAAGCTTCCTTCATGCTCATCTTTGGAATATTTCTTATCCTGTATTATTAAAACTTAGGGGTTTGGAGCTAATTTGGTTGGTTTTTTTTCTTAAACTGATCAGCTGAAGGGTTTGTCCATCAATGTGATATATTTGGGATTTACCTGGTGGTTTTAGGAGTTAACTATATCAAAAGTATGAACATGAAATACTATTACCATTCAGAAATAACAGAGACAAACCCACCCAAAACACAGCAATAAGGTTTACACCCCGTGTTACAAAGCAGAATTTATATAACACTTATTTAGCCAGCACTCCATGCTGCACTCCTCCTGCCTGTGCTGGAATGTGGGAAGCTGTTCAGCTGCTCATGATGAATCTGAATCCTTCTCCTGCCTTCCACCTGTAATCCTGCAATCCCTGAAAAGCACAGGCAAGGGCAGTATGCTCCAGACCCTTCACCAGCCTTGTTGCCCTAAATCCACAGGACTGCTCAGCCTGTACTCCCAGAAACACTTGGAAGCAAGTGATGTTACCATTCACAGGCCAGCTGCCTCATGGCCTCACTCCATGGGCAGTGTTCCACCACAGATCTCTGTTAATTCCACACCTCCCACTTCCTGCACATTCCTGTTGTATCCCTACATTTTCCAAGATCTCTCCATACACCTGCTACTTGAAATGGAGAAACAAGAGCAACAAGTTTTGGTCTCCAATCATAAAAGGCTTGCTTGGATTCTCCTAAAAAAAGTTTTCCAACTAGGACAGTGTCTTCCTCAAAGAATTTAAGGAGCAAATCTAACTGAAATATGATGCAATTCATCAGTATGACAGAAGTAAAAGAGGAATTTCAAGAGTATCTAGAGAAAGAAGGGAATAAGAGCCAAAAACTATGGGAAAGAGCACTGGAAATCCTGAAGATGAGTTTTTGTACAATTCTGAACTTGAATCAGAAAGCTCAGGCAGTGTTCCACCATGGGCTGACAAGGATAAAATTGTGCTCTGAACACAATCCCTTGCAATAACTTGAAGCACACTGTGCGTGTACTGTGTTACAAATCATACAAGTGATCTTAAAAAAGGGTGGGAGTTAGTTTTATTAGGAGTTTATCAACAAAATTAGCATGATGTACTAGAGATTAAAACACACTATCTATGGAACATGCTCTTGGTTCTAAAAGCTTACAGAAGTGGCTATTTTCCTTAAGAAATAAAACCAGTTGCTTCTGTTTTGAGCTTCTACCTCTCTCTCTCTCTCTCTTTGGGCAGATTCTTTTCTCTGAGAATTTAGGTTTTACTGTTTGAGTACCATATAGATCTTTTTTTCTGAAAGGAAGAAGACTTTTCAGAGGTTGTCTAAACAAATCAGTGATAAAGACAGGGACAGACCTTGGGAACCCTGAGGATCAAGAAGCCCCTGTATTTGATACAAAAATAGGCAGGAACAAGTCTATGAGTTTAGCAAATGAAAAACAGCAAAACAGGAGCCCAGTGAAAGGAATCAGAGCTCTGTCAACAACTACAGTGTGACCAAAATCTCACTTAATACTATGGATAGCATAAAGAGGATCAGTATGGAGGAAATGACAACTCTAAAGAAATGATGTCCCACTGAACAGGCAGGAGAAGGCAATGTAAGCATGCAGTGTAAGTAAGAGTGCATTTCTTACCACAATGTGTGATGGAGACAGTGGAGTTATTCCAGGGTCTCCCAAGCTTTTGGCTGGTGATGAGTAAGCAGATGTGGAAACTGCATCTAAAAGGAAACAAACACCCATCAGTGTCAGCAAGCAGAATGAGTAAATACAACAGTTACTTTGCATACTGCTAAACTGTTTTCCAGTTGTAAAGAATCTGCTAAAATACAAAGCAAATTCCATAGCTGCCATCTAAAACATGTTTTGCCTTTAAAACATGCTAAGACACAACTGTTGTTTTGGTTTTAAAATGTCTGTCTGACCTTCATGACTATTACCATTCTTTTATTACATTGTCATGTACAATCTTAAAAGTCTTCCTAAACATATTCAAAAATCATAGCTGGTACAAGCAGCTTGAGCACCACACACTGCCTAGGATTTAAATGCATGAATGCAGAAAATAAACACAAGCTGTGAGATCCAAAAAGACAGACCCATTTACAAGAAAAAGAGGAGCTGAGAGCAACTGGAGAAAGCAGGAACAGTAAGCTGCAATTCGTCCATCCTGAGCCTTTATTCTGAAACTTTCCCAATACTGTCTCTGTTTTTATCCCTCACTACACTCTGCACTAGAACATCCTGCAGCTGTTAATACTACTGCAGGACAGAATCCAGCTGGGAAAAAGGAAAGCATTATTAACAAGTCATCAAAGAAATATTTCTACCCAGCACACAGTACTAAAACTTCACTTAAAGGCACAGACCAAACGAGTAACAAATACTGTAATGCACTAATTTTATTTTTCATTCTTTCATTTACATTGTTGATGACAGAAAAGGAAATGGCTTAAAACAAATTAAGCTTAGATGGATTTATATATAATCTGAAGAATACAATAGTTTATCAAAATAGAATGTAGAAAAGGTACCACACAGCCTGTCCATGCTCATACCCCTGTGCTCCAAAATTTAAGCCCTAAGTGCTCACTGAATTCTCTTCCACAGAATACAAGCTGCAATTAGATGTAAAGCAGAATGATGTAATAGGCCTCTGAACATGAATAATAATAATTAAATAATAAGTAATACATTTCAATGTATTTTTATCACCTACTTGGATGCATCACACATTTATTCATAGCATGTAATTCCTAGACACAACTGACAACTCAGAGCATCACTCCAAGATGACACTGGCTCTCCAAGACCTCAGAATTACATAGGGAAAAATGGCAATCAAATATGCCTTGTTTCCCAGGGAAGACTTAAAAACCCTGCAGTGGGCAAGTAGGAGGGAATTTGCCTGCAGGGAAAAAAAATCTTCCTCCAAATCTTAATTTTGCTCTTGAAACTTCATTTATTTCTTGAAGTTATAACATGCATGTTCAGCCTGATTTTCAGAAGCATTTGCAGAAGCACAGTATTTGCATTTTCTACACAAATTCTCCGGGAATATATTAAGTTACTCCTCTTGCAGTGAAGTACAAAAAGTCACAGGCCAAATGTGACAAGCACAGAATCTGCTCGGTTCATTAAGACATCTTTGGAACAGATGCTGTTATCAGCCTCCTTTGTGCCATTTTTACCTCTTAATTTTTCCACCAGCAATATGGTATTTATTTTAGAATTGAAAAACAGTATCTCAACACAGAAAAAAAATAATTAAATAACTAACAAAATATATTCCTTGCATCCTGCTGTAATTCCTGGCTGGACCTGAACTATACTTCCTGAGCAGACCAAGACACTGCAACACTGACTCAACATCTCTGGAAACCTGTACTTTACCCACAATTAGGATGCTGATTTGAAGCACAAAGTGCAGACAGCAATCCATGAGTTTTCAGTGTTTCACTTTGCCACTTTTTGGTTACCTGTTTCGGCACTCATGTTTCACAGGTGTGCTGGGGCAGGTCCAGAGGAGGCCACAGAGATGATCACAGGGCTGGAGCACCCCTGCTGTGGAGACAGGCTGGGAGAGAAGGCTCCAGGGAGACCTCAGAGCACCTTCCAGTACCTAAAGGGGGCCTACAAAAGAGCCAGAGAGGGACATTTTACAAGGGCAGGCAATGACAGGACAAAGGGTAAAAATGAAAAAAGGGTAGATTTCTATCAGGACATGATTTAGACATTCAGACACCAGAGTGAAATTCTTTACTGTGACACTGGAGAGGCACTGGCACAGGTTGGCCAGAGCAGCTGTGGCTGCCCCACCCCTGCAAGGGCTCAAAGCCAGGCTGGACAGGGCTTGGAGCAACCTGGTCCAGGGGAAAGCGTCCCTGCCCATGGCAGGGGTTGGAAACAAGGTGATCTTCAAGGTCCTTTCCAACCTCCCAAACTATGTTTCTAAGATGCATTTTCCAACCTGTCTTCAGCTATCAGCCTTGAAAAGTTATTTTTATCTCTGTGTGCAACTCAGAAAATTCTGTGTGACAGGATACACATTTTTGTATCTCAGAGAGCAGTGAATAAATATCCAGAGCAATACTGATATCCATCCAGTGAAACCACTAACTTGAATGGTGTCCTACCAACAATTAATTCTAGATAATTAATAAAAAAGACCCTTCCAAACCCATGACAATCCTGCACTGCCTTCATGGCTCCTCCTGCAAATACCCAGCTAAATAAAATAATTCTACAATGCATCCTGGATCTAATGCCAAAACTTCTCAACAGGTAGTGAAATGACTGCTAAAAGCAAATGAAATTAGGATATTTATAACATTATACTATCTACCCCATCTGAACTGCAAGGTGTTAAAATATATTTGTCTATGTGGGAGCTTTCGTATCTTGTTGAGTTAGTGTTTCCATGGTGAAAAAAATGTGCATGTGTAACAATTTTTACAGCTGTGTTCTGAAGAACAGTAAATGCATGGATATTCCAGGATATTTAAAAATCCCTTATCTCTAAAGCACTGTGATTGGTTGATCTAACAGAAACAAAAGCATCTGTTCCAAGCCAGAAAATGGGAAAAGGGTTCCAAGGAACCTGATTTGCAATCATGAAACTGAAAAATGATGCCTAGACTGTCCTGGATAGGATCAGGGTATTTGGAACAGTTCTTAGAATCAGAATGAATTTTTATGGCTTCTGCAACAAAAAAAACCATAATCAAGTAATGTTCTACATAGCTCAAGTTCCAGCTTTATCTCCATGTTTACTAAGGATCTTTATCTCTGTCAAACTACATGCTATGACAAAAACACAGCTAAACAGTATGCACTAAATAAACACTTAAATTCTTGCCAATTTACACACCAAATTAAACTGAGGAATCTGATTTAGAATCCAAATTAAATAAGTCCTCAAACAAACCAGTATTTAAAATAATCTTTCTCTAAATATGATGCAAACTTCTTGAATAAAAATTCTTATATTTACTTTGATATGAATATTAACCTGGGTTCAGGAAATTTCAATAAATGTGTATAGGCTAAATTTGAACACATCAGGATTTCTGACTTAAGTCCTAACCTCACCAATTGGCAAAGAACACCTTGTGCATTTTTAAGGTGATCAGAAGTTGAAGGGAAAACACAGAAGGCTCCCATTTCCAGGCAGATTCCCAAACCACTACAGAATTAGCAAAATTATGAGATCAGAAGATATTGTATTAATAATGAAATCATGTCCATTATCACATTAGCTCCAATTGCTGGTTTAGCAGACTTAATTTAAATTAATCCTTCTTTTCATCTAAACAGATGCAAGAGTTTATTTTCTGTGGTTTCCTGCAATGCCTAATCTGTTTAGCTCTTTCTGTTTCTCAGTAAATTATCAGCAACATTGTAGATTTTGACAAAATGCAACGAAGGATTAACCTTTAAGTGTCAAAGAATGCAGACTAAAAGCAAAGTCCAGAACATTTATAGAAACTTTGCTGATGCAGTGTGGATATTTCACTGATTGCGTGTTCAGCTGAATCTGATTTTCTGACAGATCTGGAGAGCAGGACCAAGCTCATTATTTAATTAGAGAAATCAGTTAATGGCAGCTGGAAGGCCATCAGTCCGTTCTGAATTTTTGAGAGCCCCTGCCACACATTCCTATTCCTATAGGACTGGAAAAATGAACTTTAGGGAACTACTAAAAAAGCCAGACATGGACCAACTCAGTCCCAGATAATCAGTTTCAAGCCAGCAGCTAAAGAAGGGTGACTGCTGGACCTCACAGTCACAAGCCACTAAGGTGGTACTCAAACAAAAAAAAATTCAGCAGCCACACAGAATCTTCTCTTTTCTGTTCAACTTTTCACCTGTATATAATTCAGCTACATAAAGCATCAGTAAAATTTTCTGCTTCACGTATTATGGACCTTGTTGATTTCCCCAGTGAAGCAGATGCCAGAGCAGTGGATTCTGTCTAACCCAGGTGCCACAAGCAATGGATAAGCTAAAGGGGGCTTTGTCAGCAGGTAGAATTTAACAGGACAACTAAATCAGGAACCTGGCAATCAGGGTGTGGGGCTGTGCAGCACAATGCCCAGAAATGCTGTCACACCAGGGAAGGGGGGACATTTCTGAATGTGCCTCGTGTCACCAGTTCTGTGTATGGAGAAGAAACAACTTTTTAAAAAAGAAGAAATAAGGATTCAAGCCCCAAGTCTGCCATTTCAGGCATATTCTGCACTATTTTGGAGTGATGGCTACAAAAGCAAAGGCTTCACCAGAGAAATTGCACTTTCCAAACCTTCTCAGACCTCACTCCCATGTGACTGGATCTCTCTCCTAAAGCAGTTTCACAAAGCAAAGAACAAGCAAAGGACCATCACTATGGTATCACCGCTGTAAGAACGTGCCTGAACACCAGGGTGTCTCATATCCCAATCAACACAAGTTAATTTCTATTTCTATCCTGACTGAGTGGCCACAAACCCAACACAAACTCTTCCCACAATTTTCTGAATCAACAACAGGATCAATACTGTTCCCCATTTCAGATCAGAGTTCCAGTATCTCAGTGAGTGCTTTCACAATAAAGACATCAGTGAGTCCCAGCACAGCATTTTCCAGGCTCTCCCAAACTCCCAGCTGAGAGAGGCTGCAGGACAGCACCCTGGCTCAAAAGGAAAGCTGCAGTAACTCTTTTTGATTTGTGTAACACACATCCACTGCTCCAAATGCCAAATCATTCCAGCACTCAGCTATTTGCAGGCTGCTGGACCAGGTGCACAGGGGAAGTTGGGATGCATTAGACCTACTAAAAATGTCACTATTTTTGTGGCTCCAATAAATCCATGTTAACTGAATTCACCATGAACACGCTGGACATGTCACAAATCAAACATTGCACCTATCTCGTGGCCCTTTGTCTGGAATTTCCAGCCATCCAGCATGTGGTAAAGGTGACTGCTGCTGTGTGTACATACACTGCTCTGCTCTCAGTCAGGCTGTGGGGAATACCAAAGTCTCAGCCAAATTCTTTCTTTCCCATTCAGGCACTATATCTGGATTTAAAATTTAGGAAAAAAGAAGGGAAATAAAAAGGAAAAAGAAGGATGTACTGAGCCAAACGTGGCTATAAGTAGCCAACAGGCAACAAAAGAATGGAATAAACTCATTATTTTTCATTCAAAAGATTATAACCTTTTGAGTATCAAAATAATTTTGACCCAAGCAAATCTTCCTAATGATTTTTGCACAAGAAAATAAGGGTTTACTATATTGCTATTAGCTGGCAACTGCTGCACTGATGAAGAAAACCTTATTCAGCTTTTCCTATTGCTGAGATTTTCCTTTGCATTAAGCACAAAATGTCAGAGCATCCAAATGCAATGTGACAACCTAGAGCATTTTACTGTAAATACAAAGATGGCCTTTTAAAATAATTACGGAACAATAAAAAAAAGAGATGGAGAGAAGCAAATAAAAAAATCTTCAAATATCCTTATGCATAATAAAAAGATCCCATATTTCATAGCAGAAGTAAGAACCTTCTGTTCCTACTGAAACCAATGGCACCACTGTTATGACCATCAATGGAATTAGAGTTCTTTGTTTTAAAATGCCAGTAGGCATCCAGCTGGTTTGCTGAAGACTGCAATACACTTCCATGAATACAGTCATAGCTAATCTGATACAAATCCAAGTTTCCTGATACCCTTTCATAATATCTAGTCCCCCAAAGAACTGGAATTCACTGCACTGATACCAATTAGAGCACAAGGATTTCCTAAGTAACAACAAAGAAAAAATTCCCAATACTTTGTGCAGAATTCTAAAAATAAGACATGTTTGTCATTACAACTTTGACCTTTTCCATTTATTGCTTCTATATTGTCTCCCATCACAATTATGCTTTGACTAGAGGAATTCCATTTCTACCACACTATGAATGCTTTCTAAGGTAATTTTAAGATTTTACCATTATTGTTAAGAGTATCAAAAACCAACCCCAGTTTCATCCCATCACTCACTCTGTGGACAAAATTCATTTTCCTGAGCCTTGGCAGCAAAGGGAGACCAAAAGACGCCACCAATTTTCTGTGAACTTAATTTGAGGTGAAAGAAACACGCAAGAACTCGCAATAACCTTCTGAAAATGCCACATGGGTTATGTTCACTCCTCCTCTATTTGACAGGACATAGGCTAAAATACTTTACTTACAATTCATCTGATCTCTCTAATGCTTGGTAAGATGGACTAAAGCTGAGCAGTCACACTCACTGGGTGTATGGTGCCCCAGGAGCTCCTCACCAACAGCTAAGGGTGTCCTTAGGCTGCCCTCAACTCAAACCCTTTCACCATCCACACTGCAAGGTCTCAAATCCAGCCCCAGCCTGAATGGCCTGAGAGTTTTCCAGCTTCTGTGACCAGCCAGCTCCCTTCTCCCTCCCATTTCTTCCCCACCCCGTGATGGGATTGCAGTGTGCTCAAAACCTGCTCATGCCCCAGAGCCTGGGGTTAGAGGAACTCACCAGCAGTGCCCTGCAGTGATCCTTTCTTCCCACATCCCAGC